CCCAGCTTGTTGTAACCTGGGATACTGTGCGGGTAAGGAGTAGCGTCCTTTTCTTTCTCTCAGCGGGCTATCAACACCACTCCTGTCGCCTTTGCTTCCCACATTTTCTGGTGCCCAGGCTGTACCCAACTTAGAATCTAATAAATATTAAACAAACTGATCACACTTAGGTTTTAAACCCAACACTATTAGACTGATAGCTAAGCCTAACCTGTGCCTTATTTCGGCCTCCAATTTCTTTACATAGCAACGAAATAATTCTCAAAGTTCTTACCAGAAATAGAAATCAGGGTGAGGATTTCTTCAATTCCAACTTTTTGTTTCACCGAGAAGTGCATCTGCTGCATCTGAACTGAGGCGACTATGGTGGCCACAAAGGTCACCACCAGGATAACCTCCTCGCAGATGTGCCCTGGGGAGTCAGTGTAAGTGTGGGTTAGCTTGTGATTATAGTACGTTCAGAAATTCATAAACACGTTTGCCATCTATTTTTTGGAAAACTGTTAGATTGCATTGACTTTTTGCTTTCAGTCTTTAAATATCTATAGCGCTAAAACAGTGTTATCAGTCAGTCAATAAATGCTCAGGATTTTTGCTAATCAGTTAATTCCTTTAATCGTTTTGAACTATTTAAGAGGAGACCGGTGGAAAAGAGGAAAGTCATGGATAGCACTGGCTGAAGATACCATCGAGACGGCGGCCTCAGTCGAGCTAATACACAGGGGCAGGAATGGGTCGACATGAACACTCACAACAGCAGTTTCCACCAGGCCATTATCATGTTAGGAAGAGAATATAGAGTTTGGTGTAACGGTATGGGAGAATTAGAGGTACAACAGCTGACTTCGAAAGCGCTGGGTTAGATGACGCAGTGGTGTACACCGATGGTTCTGTTCATCGGGGTGTAAGATTTGGCTAGGGATTGTCAGCTAGAATGAAGGGCAAGACGCTGGCAGAACGAAATGGGGCTTTTTATTTAAAAAAAAATTTTTTTTAATTTTAAGCATAAGGATGTGATAACGATAATCACTGCAGCTCTGAGATGGAATGCAGAAGATGAAGTTACCACAGAAATGATTATTTCTGAATCTCGGTCAGTATTACGGAAGGTTTAAAGTGGACACATGTGGCATGAGTTGATACCATGCATCAGTACGTTAACACTGGCGGGAATCAAGTGTATTTACTATTTGGAATATGCAGTAATGCGAGGGAATGAAAAAGGAAACATTTTGAAAACCGTATATGAACAAATGCTGACAGAAAACACGAGATTATATGAGATAATATGTGTAAAAATGTGGAAACGAAGAATCGGGAGTGGATCCGGCAAGGAGGGACGTATGAGAGGAACAGAACGATGACGTGTGTATAATTAGTGTGCTACGGGAACAGCAAGCAGCTGCATCTTAAGACATTTACTACGGGAGACGGAGCATCTATGAGTATGCATAGTGTGCTAAATATCGATTCTTCAATCAGTAAATCAAAACTTGTAAATAAGTAGTATACAGTTTTCGATTTTACAGTAAGCATGTTAATTTCAAGATCAGTGTCAACTGTTTTGTTTTTGCTTTAGAGGCGTTATTTTCATAATAAATGATGCTGTATCCAGACCAAGCGCCAGTTTTGATCGTTTCTCTGGGTCATGAGCATCACAAGATAAATGACCCATCTTAGGTTCCCGGCTCAAGTCCTCGTATAGTAAAACATAGTTGCAAAGTTATAAATATACACTTCAGACTCATTAGGACATTGATGACTATGTCAGTTTTGTAAGCCAACTATATGACACAGTAACTCAAGACTAATTTGTGGATAAGCCTTTAACTAAACAACATTGAAAGAAGTCTTATTTTGGGTTCCGTTCACTAACGCACGGCTTCCACTCACCTAGAAGTGTACCAGTGGTCACGTGACTGTCGTTGCTAGAGAGGACGTAGTAGCAGACGAGACACACCACGGAGACGACGAACAAGAAGACGCCAAGGAAGAGACCCTTGCTGGAGCTGGCGCAGTCCACGCTCATGCGGTGGTGTCCGTTGTCGTCGTCGCTGTCCTCGTCGCTGTCCTGCTGGCCTAGATCCGAGCAGGAATCTGCTCTAGTGCCGGTGATGCCTTCTCCAACGTTTGTCCACATTACGTACAGCACACCTGGGTAAGGTAAAGGTAAAGTCGGGAGATGTGAACCAGCGTCATTGCACAAGGTTATAAACCATAAGTGCTTTGCCACCAGTACGGACAGTACAACAGGATGATGCAAAAGGTAACATCAAAGTAAAATAACATAACATAACCCTTGACCCTTTAGGGTCATCGAGATGCACCGGTAGAAAAAACTAGCATAAAAAACCCACCATATTTCTCTGTCTCTCGCTTGTTGAGCAAGTATATAGGAATTTGGGTTCTTTTGAGGTTATTTCACCCCATCTCGTCCAGCGCTAGATTTCTTAGGGAATTCTCTTGGACAGTCCTACAGTCTAAGAGGGTTAGGTTTAGGGTCAGTCTGTTCACAAATTGCTTTGACCTCTCAGCATTGCTGCATGCAGTACTAACCCTAACACTAACGCTTGAGCAGTCGTTCACAGAAAAGAGAGGCATCTGGGAGAAAAGAAACCTGTGCAGCTTCGTGTGGAAGAAAATCAACCTGCTCACTTTCGTGTGGGAGAAAATCAACCTGCTCACTTTCGTGTGGGAGAAAAGGAACCTGCGCACGTTCTTGTGAAAGAAAAGGAACATGCGCACTTTCGTGAGGAAGAAAAGGTACCTGCGCACGTTCTTGTGAAAGAAAAGGAACATGCGCACTTTCGTGTGGAAGAAGAGGAACCTGTGCACGTTCTTGTGGAAGAAAAGGAACATGCGCACTTTCGTGTGGAAGAAAAGGAACCTGCGCACTTTCTTGTGGAAAAAAAGGAACATGCGCACTTTCGTGTGGAAGAAAAGGATCCTGCTCACGTTCTTGTGGAAGAAAAGGAACATGCGCCCTTTCGTGTGGAAGAAAAGGAACCTGCGCACGTTCTTGTGGAAGAAAAGGAACATGCGCACTTTCGTGTGGAAGAAAAGGAACCTGCGCACGTTCTTGTGGAAGAAAAGCAACCTGCGCACATTCGTGTGGGAGACGGCGTATCGGCCCTGTCAAGAGAAGCCCAGACATTTGTCGGCAGCCTTGTATACACGGCCTTGACCGTCTGCAACTAGTTCCAGGCGATTGTGTACACACAGAACGAAGGCAGGTCACAACACTTCTATACTGTAGGACTATTGTGGGATTCCCTATGAAACTCGTGCCGAAAGAGATAGGGTGAAAACCTGAAAAGTACCGTAATGTTTGTCCTGTCCATTTCGTGTTGTCATTCCAGGTTCTCCTTTGCAATTCTTCGACTACCTTCTAACGTTTCTTGAAGTATATAGTCTTTGCAATTTAATCATGTCACAACGCATATCCCAACCAATCTATCTTTCGAAGTTTCATCACTGAAAGAAGATTCTCTTGATGTCTTGTAGGTGACAGAAGCCCAGGCAACCCTTGGACAGGCAACCCTTGGACAGACAACCCTTGGACAGGAAACCTTAGACAGGCAACCCTTGGACAGGCAACCCGAGTAATGAATATTTGCAAAGCCGAGCAACAAATACAACAGACTAGTATGGACACCGTCAATAGACTCGATTCCGAAGGATCGATATCACTTCACTCTGAACACAAATGAATTCTGTCCGTATTCCATAGTCGTGGATTTCAAGCTGTACGATAGACATGGCCAATGAGACACCTTTTTTAGGGGGTGCCGAGTTGACCATGTATCTTAGTGCACTTGTATTCATGGCGAGGCGCAGACGCCGTCTGGAGGTGACAGGTTCAATTCCCGGCACGGTAACCTTTTTTTTATGTTGTCTAGTGTGTTTCTTCTATCTTTCTACTTCTTTCTATGAGTGCCGTTTCACCATACTTTCTGTTACTTGATTAATTCATTATTTAACGTTTCAAATGGTTCCCCCCCTCTGTTTATTTATAGGAATGACGTATACACACCGGAACCTATCAAATACCTTTCTTAAATGTTTGTGTATTCTAGACAGGGCAATAAGGTCTACTGTGTACGTAATTGTTGCTGTGAGTTATTGACATTTGCCTCGTTAATATAAATTTTCTGTAACCTATGGTGCCATTTCAATGGTTTGAAATGAATTCTGTCCGTATTCCATAGTCGTGGATTTCAAGCTGTACGATAGACATGGCCAATGAGACACCTTTTTTAGGGGGTGCCGATTTTGTATCTTAGTGCACTTGTATTCATGGCGAGGCGCAGACGCCGTCTGGAGGTGACAGGTTCAATTCCCGGCACGGTAACTCTTTTCGATTTTTATGTTGTCTAGTGTTTCTTCTATCTTTCTACTTCTTTCTATGAGTGCCGTTCACAATACTTTCTGTTACTTGATTAATTCATAATATTTAACGGCTTTCAAATGGTTCCCCCCTCTGTTTATTTATAGGAATGACGTATACACACCGGAACCTACCAATCAAATACCTTTCTTAAATGTTTGTGTATTCTAGACAGGGCAATAAGGTCTACTGTGTACGTAAATTGTTGCTGTGATTGTTATTTGACATTTTGCCTCGTTAATATAAATTTCTGTAACCTATGGTGCCATTTCAATGGGTTGAAATGAATTCTGTCCGTATTCCATAGTCGTGGATTTCAAGCTGTACGATAGACATGGCCAATGAGACACCTTTTTTAGGGGGTGCCGAGTTGACCATGTATCTTAGTGCACTTGTATTCATGGCGAGGCGCAGACGCCGTCTGGAGGTGACAGGTTCAATTCCCGGCACGGTAACTATAGCTTTCGATTTTTATGTTGTCTAGTGTGTTCTTCTATCTTTCTACTTCTTTCTATGAGTGCCGTTCACAATACTTTCTGTTACTTGATTAATTCATAATATTTAACGGCTTTCAAATGGTTCCCCCCTCTGTTTATTTATAGGAATGACGTATACACACCGGAACCTACCAATCAAATACCTTTCTTAAATGTTTGTGTATTCTAGACAGGGCAATAAGGTCTACTGTGTACGTAAATTGTTGCTGTGATTGTTATTTGACATTTGCCTCGTTAATATAAATTTCTGTAACCTATGGTGCCATTTCAATGGGTTGAAATGAATTCTGTCCGTATTCCATAGTCGTGGATTTCAAGCTGTACGATAGACATGGCCAATGAGACACCTTTTTTAGGGGGTGCCGAGTTGACCATGTATCTTAGTGCACTTGTATTCATGGCGAGGCGCAGACGCCGTCTGGAGGTGACAGGTTCAATTCCCGGCACGGTAACTATAGCTTTCGATTTTTATGTTGTCTAGTGTGTTCTTCTATCTTTCTACTTCTTTCTATGAGTGCCGTTCACAATACTTTCTGTTACTTGATTAATTGAACACATCTGTGAGTATTCACCAACTTCCAGCATGTCACAAAGTATTTATTTACGTCATCCCAATGAAAACTTGAGCTAGACAATCTAGCCATTTACAAAGAGGAAAGTAACGAACACGGAAAGAGCCTAACAGAGACACCAAGAACAAACAAACTTGATTGTCAAAGGGTTACAAATTGGGCACACAGATTTGTCTTACATTCGGCCCTTCCAAATACCTTTCATACAGCACGACGTGACATAGAGAGATCCTTGAGAAGTCTGAATTGTTGAGTTATCTTCCTTGTGGCAGGACAGTCAAGCACAATACATGAAAACTGCACTCTTAAACCAGACCTCGCATTTGTGCACACGATGGTAGATATTTAAACACACATAATACTACTGCTCACTTAGACAAATTACTACTGCTCACATAGACACCTTGCTACTGCACACATGGACACATTACTACTGCTAACATGCACACTACTACTGCTCACATGGACTCATTACTACTGCTCACATGGACTCATCACTACTGCTCACATGGACACATTACTACTGCTCACATGGACTCATTACTACTGCTCACATAGACACACTACTACTGCTCACATGGACTCATCACTACTGCTCACATGGACACCCTACTACTGCTCACATGGACACATTACTACTGCTCACAAAGACACATTACTACTGCTCACAAAGATACATTACTACTGCTCACATGGACACACTACTACTGCTCACATGGACTCATCACTACTGCTCACATGGACACATTACTACTGCTCACATGGACACATCACTACTGCTCACATGGACACACTACTACTGCTCACATGGACGCATTACTACTGCTCACATGGACTCATTACTACTGCTCACATGGACTCATTACTACTGCTCACATGGACACATTACTACTGCTCACATAGACACATTAATATGCTCACATGGACTCATTACTACTGCTCACATGGACGCTTTACTACTGCTTACATGGTCACATTACTACTGCTCACATGGACACATTAATATGCTCACATGGACTCATTACTACTGCTCACATGGACACATTAATATGCTCACATGGACTCATTACTACTGCTCACATGGACACATTACTACTGCTCACATGGACAGTTTACTACTGCTTACATGGTCACATTACTACTGCTCACATGGACACATTAATATGCTCACATGGACTTATTACTACTGCTCACATGGACACTTTACTACTGCTTACATGGTCACATTACTACTGCTCACATGGACACATTACTACTGCTTACATAGACACATTACTACTGCTCACATGGACACGTTACTACGACTCACATGGACACATTGCTATGCTCACATGGACACATTACTACTGCTCACATGGACACATTACTACTGCTCACATGGACACATTACTAATGCTCACATGGTCACATTACTACTGCTTACATAGACACATTACTACTGCTCACATGAACACGTTACTACGGCTCACATGGACACATTACTACTGCTTACATAGACACATTACTACTGCTCACAAAGACACATTACTACTGCTCACATGGTCACATTACTACGGCTCACATCGACACGTTACTACTACTCCCATGGGAACATTACTACTGCTCACATCGACACGTTACTACTAATCACATGGACACATTACTACTGCTCACGTAAACACATTACTACTGCTCATATATACACATTACTACTGCTCA